TTTATTTAATAGTTCACCTAGCGTATTTATAAAGACTGATAGTCATCATTTAAAATTATTTCCCTGTTAATCATTTTTACAGCCTATGAATTGTGGGTGTTTACTCAAGAAATAAACTTTACGCTGACTATATGAGTATTTTACCAATAATTCAGTATGTAGCTGTTTTCATTAAACCAACAATACCAAATGTCTTATTCAGCAAAAATTACACAAGCAAAGATTATTCTGTTTTGGGCTGGCTTTATAGTTTTACAACCCTTATGCAAAATTTTGACACCTTATAATATTTGCCAGGGATAAACATGAACCCACTTGATCAATAAACAGAAAGAAAAATGCTACAGTTCTAATTCTAATGTTACTTTACCAAGAATTTTACAGCCAGTTTATTTATTAAAGATTTTACTTAAGTCATTGTCACGTGCGTCCCTGTGAAGAGACCACCAAACAGGCTTTGTGTGAGCAATAAAGCTTTTCAATCACCTGGGTGTGGGCAGGCTGAGTCCGAAAAGAGAGTCAGTGAAGGGTGGGGCCGTTTTATAGGATTTGGGTAGGTAAAGGAAAATTCCAGTCAAAGGGGGGTTGTTCTCTGGCGGGCAGGAGTGGGAGTCACAAGGTGCTCAGTGGGGGAGCTTTTTGAGCCAGGATGAGCCAGGAAAAGGAATTTCACAAGATAATATCATCGCTTAAGGCAACGACCGGCCATTTTCACTTCTTTTGTGGTAGAATGTCATCAGTTAAGGCCGGGGAGGGCATTTTCACTTCTTTTGTGATTCTTCAGTTACTTCAGGCCATCTGGGCATATACGTGCAAGTCACAGGGGCTGTGGACGTGCAAGTCACAGGGGATGTGATGGCTTGGCTTGGGCTCAGAGGCCTGACATTCATGTGAATTTGAAAAGCTTGTGGGCTTATTATTTATTTAATTTATGGTTACTCTTAACTTTAAGCCAGTTTGGTACCTTGTGGCCACAATCCATAACAAAATACATAAACACGTACATGCACATCATAGAAAGATCCTATTTTTTATTTCAGAACTCTAGCCATAAGATGTTAATACGAACTCACTGGTTTACAAAAAGGAAGAAGATTGGATCTAAACAGTGGGTTTTGTCTCCGTAGAAAAGTAACAGCAGATTTAAAGCAGGCAGAAAAGAAAATAGAGAAGTAGAGAACTTAGGAACTCTTGAGTTGCAGATTGACCTTTGGGCTATGAATTTTTCTTTGATGTAATTTGCCCATCAGCTTAAAATGTGCAAAACAGACCATAATATGTAACTAGTTTGAGTACTAGTAATCTTGGCATGCCCTCAAACTTTTTCATTTTGCACAAACACTCGCACCCTAAAACTCACAGGGCGCCCCAAAGTGGATCATTCTCCTTGTCTTCCCTCATTTTCAGATTGTTGCCCACTTTTTTTTTTTTTCTTAAAAGGAGGAATGGAGCTGTGGCCTAGGGTTTTTTTGTGTGGTAGATCAATGTGTGCTGAGTTTGGATAAGACTGCAGTGTTTTACAAATGAGTCATTTCCACCTGCTTATGTGTCTCAGTTTCTCTCTCCAGAGGTCTATCACCTCTGAGAAAGCTAAAAATGCCAAGTGAACAGCTCTATATGCATTTCTTGAATGAGTCTTTTAAAACTAATTTTGTTGAGGGTTCCCTGTAGGGCCCCTGCATGGCAAAAGGGGTAAACCACCGAGACGATTCCCACTCAGCCCCCAGTCACCCAAGGGGCAGCTTGCAGCTGGGAGTAACAAAATGTCCTTTCTCTTCAGAGCTGAGGTGGTCTCTCATTTATCTATAAAAATGAAAGTTTAAGTTTCTTACAAAAATGCACAGACAAGCCAATTGAGATTAATTTTGGGAGAAAAATTAAGGGAGAAGACACTTTAGAATATACCTCCAAAGTGGAAACCAAATAGGTTACCCAAAAGGCAGGGGTTCTCCTTGGCTTTAGAAAAAGGCAATGGACAAGATCCTTTAGAATGCACCTCTAAACTAGAATTAGGATCCTAAACAACAACTTCCTAGGAGGAAAAAAAAAAAAGAACTTTTTGACTCTTTTGTAGTAACACTTAGCTTAAAACACAAACATATTCTATAGCTATATCAAAGTATTTTATTTCTTTATGTCCTTATTCTATAAGCTTTTTTCCACTTACAATTTTTATTTTACTGTTTAAACTTTTTGTTAAAAACTGAAATACAAATACACACATTAACCTAGGCCCACACAGGATCGGAGTCATCAATATAACCATCTTCCATCTCCACATCGTGTACCACAGGATGGTCTTGCACATTAAATTATATTCCTTTTTGTAATATATTTGTTATTATAAATATTTTAGAATTTTATTTTATAATTGATTTTATTGGCTTAAAAAATGTAAATGCTTTTGTATATTAGTCTATTAACAGTTTTACCAAACTCTCTTATTATTTCTGACAGTTTATTGATTTTCTTGGATTTTATATGATGACAAATCATTTTTCTGTTAAAAATAATGCAAGTTTTGTTCTTTCTTCTAATCTTTATATTCATTATTTATTTCACAAATATTAACAGACAGTTCATTTCTCCAGTGCAATGTTGAGCATAAGCTGTAACAGTAGACACACCCTTCTATTATTCTTGAATTCAGAGACAATGTTTCACCATTGTGTATGTTTGTTTTAGATTATTTTCATTGGTCTTCATTGCCAGGTTATAAAAGTTTTCTCTTTTCCTTATTTTGCTGAGTTTTTAATTTGAATAAATGTTAACTTTAACAATTTTTTCCTCCATCTCTTGAAATGCTATTTCTTTCCTTTTAATGTCTTAAAGTTGTAAACTGTATCAAAGGGTTTCTAATATAACACAGCTACACTGTAAAATTTCAAAAGGTATCAGGAGTTAAGTGATGTCCCAGTAATACAATATTACGTTATTCTTTCATTCTTGTGATAAATCCAATTTAGTCATGAGGTTTCCTTAAGAGATGACTAGATCCTTGTTAACTTTTTATTTACAATTTTTTGCATTTATTTTTAGAATTGTGCTGGCCATGTAATTTTCCTCCTGCATTTTTCCTTGATTTTGACTTCAAGGTTGTATTAGCCTCATTTTAAAAAGTTGGCATTTGGAAATAATTTTTCCTTTAGTATTTTGGTTACAGTTTGTATAAGATTCTGATTATTTAATTTTTGAATGTTTAGGAGACATTCTCTGTAAAGCTATTTTGTTCTAATGCAAGTGTGTTCTGTGTAATTTTAATCACTCATTAATTTTTTTTAATCATTATGGGATATTTGGGTTTGTGGAAGACTTTGGCAAATTTTCTGTTCTATCCACATTTCAATGAAATACTCATATTTTTATATGTACTTCGTGTGTAGTTATGTTTCATTTATGTCCTATTACTTTTGACTTGTACTTTTTCTCTTTTTTGTTGATCAGTCTTTATTAGAGAACATATTTTATCTTGGTTTGCTGCTTATTTGAGATAGGAAATATAGCATAACAGTGATATATATAGACCTTGGAATCAGATGGTTTAACTCAAGAGGTGATTAAGAGAATTACATTTGATTAAATACACAAAATTATTTAAGCCTCCCAAAAAGTAATTTTTCAATACATTTTAGCTATTACTATAACTAAGTTCCAAATTTTCTATCATTTAACCCAGTTTATATTTTGTAGCATTCACTGCTCTCTGACATTATCATTCTTACTCATTTATTTATTTAATTTTAAAATTGAGTATAGATTTTTCTCTCCTCATTTTTCCACAATAAAAGGGATTTTATTTTTTCCTGGTAACCATTATATCCAAAGCTAGAATCATGCTGAATATGTAGTAGAAAGTCAAAAAATTAATTATTTTTTTAAGTAGATTATTTCCTAATGAAGTGCTAGATGCTATTAGAATGGTAAACTGGGGAGGAAAGTTTGATGTGGAAAAGACATTGAGAAATATTTGGAGTAAGGAACATTACAGAAATGAATGAGATTGTTAATGAATAGTTCTGGCATACAAAAAATTCAACATGAACAAATTACCTTTCTTCAGGGACTTGAATTGGGAATGAAAGAGTGGGAAAAATAAAGTTAACTACTTCATAGCTTTGTCTGTTTTTAACTTTTGTGCCTTCAACACAAGAGGTATTTTAGAAATATTCGTTGATGGCCGGGCACGGTGGCTCACACCTGTAATAGCAGCACTTTGGGAGGCCAAGGTGGGTGGATCACGAGGTCAGGAGATCCAGACCATCCTGGCTAAGACGGTGAAACCCATCTCTACCAAAAATGCAAAAAATTAGCTGGCCGTGGTGGCGGGCGCCTGTAGTCCCAGCTACTCGGGAGGCTGAGGTAGGAGAATGGCGTGAATCCGGGAGGCGGAGCTTGCAGAGAGCCGAGATCTTGCCACTGTACTCCAGCCTGGGCAACAGAGCCAGACTTTGTCTCAAAAAAAAAAAAAAAAAAAAAAAAAAAAAAAGAGGGGCCGGGCGCCGTGGCTCAAGCCTGTAATCCCAGCACTTTGGGAGGCCGAGACGGGCGGATCACGAGGTCAGGAGATCGAGACCATCCTGGCTAACACGGTGAAACCCCGTCACTACTAAAAAATACAAAAAAAATACTAGCCGGGCGTTGTGGCGGGCGCCTGTAGTCCCAGCAACTCGGGAGGCTGAGGCAGGAGAATGGCGTAAACCCGGGAGGCGGAGCTTGCAGTGAGCTGAGATCCGGCCACTGCACTCCAGCCTGGGCGACAGAGCGAGACTCCGTCTCAAAAAAAAAAAAAAAGAAATATTTGTTGACATAACACTGTTGGTAGGAAGCATCATAAAGAGTTTTAAATACTGTAGGACTGAGTAGGAAGGTTTCATTTTCTTGTTAAAAAGTCAAACTAATTTTTGTTAGTTGATTGTCTTATTCTAAAAGCCACAAAAGCAAAGAAATATCTTTTCTTGTTTTATAACATTTTATAATATTAACTTCTATTTTTACTTTAGGGACTCCACAACTTATTATACCTAATCGTATGTATCAAAATGTTTTAGTATTAATCAGATTATTTCCTCCCATTGAAAATGAATTGAACTCTTAACTATTCTGGTTTTGTTTTCATTTTTGACAGAAAATCCATTTCTGAAGCCAATGGGGAGAGCACCTCAGCAGATAGCCTTTAATCCATTCAGCTTAAGTTTTCTTCTTCTGAGAATCTTTTAATGTCATTTATATACAAAAGAAATTATCAAATGTTAAAATAAAAGAATAGTTTATTGTTTAACTTATCATCAGTTTGATTCTTTATTGAATCTTCTACACTCTTTCCTGATACCTAAATTTAATGTTTGTTTTTAACTCAGAAAATGTATTGTAGTATGGAAAATGGATGGCAGTAGAATAAAGTCTTAAGATTATTTTAAATTACAAATCCATATGTATAACCAAAGTGTTCCACTCTTTAATTTTCTAATGAGAATGGATTTCCATTTTAGTTATAGTACATTTAGAGAACTAAAGTCATTTCAGATATTAGTTTCCTTATATACTAGCAGTTTCCTTTATGAATACCATCAATATCATTCAGAAACAAAATGTTACTGAGGAAAGTTTTTTCAGATAGCATATAATGTTATACATTATGGACATAATCAATGGTTGGGGGAATAAATCAATGAATTAAATTCAAAAGGAAAATTAACTAAATTTTCAACCTTTAAAAAGTAAATATATGTTCTGCAAATTAAAGTCGCACTCTTCTGGAGATTTATTTTTAAATATGCCCCATAGAAAATAACAGGATGTTAACAGCATATCTTTTAAAAGCCATACAAAATTAGTATAGGCAACAACATCTCTACAAACCAGAGAATTATTCAATTCTGGCATTTCTTTTTTCTGAAGAAAAAAATATTTAATAAATTCAGTTTTCAAAATCATCACTGCTGAATTGTTGACTCCTGTGAAGTAAATTATCTATTTTTCTTCTCAACTAAGGCAAGCTCCAGCTTCCTTCAGCTATTGTATTAGGGCTCTCTAAAGAGACAGAACTACTAGGTTATATGCATGTATAAAAGAGAATTTATGAAAAAGAATTGACTCACACGATCGAAAGGTGAAGTCCCATCTGTAAGTTGAGGAGCAAGGAAGCCAGCAGTAGCTCAGTCCAAGTTTCAAAATCTCAAAAGTCGGGAAGCCGACAATTCAGCCTTCAGTGTGTGGCTGAAGGCCTGAGAGCCCCTGGTAAACCACTGATGTAAATACAAGAGTACAAAAGACGAAGAGCCTGGAGTCTGATGTTTGAGGGCAGGAAGTGTCCAGCATGAGAGAAAGATGAAGGCTGGAAGATTCAGCAAGTCTGCTCTTCCATCTTCTCCTGCCTGGTTTATTCTAGCCACGCTGGCAGCTGATTGGATGTTGCCCACCCACATTGAGGTGGGTCTGCTTTTCCCAGTTCACTGACTCAAATGTTAATCTCCATTGGCAACACTCTCACAACACACCCAGGAACAACAGTTTGCATCCTTCAATAAAGTTGACTTAACCATCACAAATCTACCCCTTGTCTACTTGAAAAATACACATCTCCTGAAATCATATATAATCTCTAAATAAAGACAATAATAAGGCTATAATTATGTCTAATTTACAGCTATCCTTTGTACAACTCGAAGTGCTCTCATCGTTAACCTAAATGTTATTACATAAAATTAACAACACTTAAATGTCTAAATGAAGTCAATAAACCTTATGTCACATGATAAAGGAAAAATAGAGGGAATAAAATGAAGATACTTTCTTAGTACAAGCGTACACATGCACAAACATATTCTTAACAAAATAAGGAGAAAATACTTATGACAATGACATTCCTCGTTTCTGCAACTGATCACGTGATTGTATTCATGACTACCTTCTTCTACTACTCATTCTGTATTATCTTTGCCTTCTGCAACCACCTCAGTGGGTCATGAACTTTTTTTCCTGGTCAAGTGACCTAAATCTCCATTCCTGAAGAGTCTGAGCCATTTGTAGTCCTGCCTGGATTGGGTTGTTAGTTTCCCATTGACCTTAATCACAGGGAATGGCAAATCTAAGAAATGCTCCATGGAGTCTCCTGTATTCCATACATACTCTTCCTTACCTCCATTATGGAGTAGTAGGCTGATTTCATCTTTTTTTGTTTTTTTTTTTGTTTTTTGAGACGGAGTCTCTGTCGCCCAGGCTGTACTGCAGTGGCACAATCTTGGCTCACTGCAACCTCTGCCTGCTGGGTTCAAGTAATTCTCTTGCCTCAGCCTTCCAAGTAGCTAGGATTACAGGTGCCCATCACTGCACCCAGCTAATTTTTGTATATTTAGTAGATGGGGTTTTACCATGTTGGCCAGGCTGGTCTTAAACTCCTGACCTCAGGTGATCTACTTGCCTCAGCTTCCCAAAGTGCTGGAATTACAGATGTGAGCCACCATACCCAGCCTGATTTCATCCTGATAGTTTAAGTCAATCACCCCAGCCAACACTGTAACTCTTGTTAGCTTGTTGACTTAGAGGTAGGAGGAGCCCAAAGTGACCAGGTGGCAATCCTAACCTCCAGTTTAACAGAATACTTCTTGTGTCGCCTGGTGGCAGCATTTCTCCCTCTGGAACTAAGATCTGTAGACCAGCAGAATGTAATGTCATGGGAACAGGAAGCAAAAATTTTGCTAGTGGATCACTAGGGGTGATGGTGAGTGGTGCCACTTTGATGTCTGAACTCGTGAATCCTGGCTATGAGAGAAACTGAGCCATATATTGGATGCTGATTCAGAGAATATATAGCTTCTGAAGAACTTTGCCCCAGCCCTATAAAGTATTGTCAACTAGTTGACATTGTAGTTAAGACTTCAAAAGGCAATCCCACCATTCTATCAATCCAGCTGCTTCAGGAAGATGGGGAACATGGTAAGATCAGTGAATTCCACGAGCATGAGCCCACTGTTGCACTTCTTTAGCCATAAAGTGAGTGCCTTGGTTAGAGGCAATGTTGTGTAAAATACCATTATGGTGGATAAGACATTCTGCGATTCCACGGATGGTAGTCTTGGCAGAAGCATTTTGTGTGCAGGATAGGCAAACCCAGATCCAGAGTATGTGTCTATTCCAATGAGGGTAAATCACTGCCCTTTCTGTAATGGAGGCAGTCCAATGCAATCAACCTGCCACAGATAGTTGTCTAATCACCCCAAGGAATGGTGCCATATCAAGGGCTCAGTGTTGGTCTCTGCTACCGCCACACTGGGCATTCAGCAGTGGCTGTAGCCAGGTCAGCCTTGGTGAGTGGAAGTCCATGTTGCTGAGCCCATGTGTAACCTTCATCCCTGCCACCATGGCAACTTTGTTCATGAGCCCATTGGGTGATGACAGGGGTGGCCGGGGAAGAAGGTTGAGTGGTGTTCACAGAATGAGTCATCCTATTCACTTACAGCCCATGAATCACTATATTATCATACATCTGGCCATTTCTCCTTCCAAGCAAAGTGTACAGCCAGGTGCACTGCTTGAAGTTCTGCACACTGGGAGATTTCCCTTCCCAAGCATCCTTCAGCGATACCAAGAAAGGGGTTATGGTGCTGCAGCTGTCCATTTTGAGGTGGTGTCTGCATATCATGCAGAACCATCTGTAAACCAGGCCCTAGTCTTCTTTTCCTCTGTCAACTGATCACAGGGAACTTCTCATGAGGCCATCGATGCAGGCTGGGGGAGAGCAGGCAGGATGGCAGGACTGGGGACCATGGGCATTTGAGTCACTTCCTCATGTAACTTACTTGTGCCTTCAGGATCTGCTTGTACCCCATCATGTATATACTGCTTCCATTTGGTGATGAAATGCTTCTGTGCATGCCCAACTTTATGGCTAGATGGGTCAGAAAGGCATGCTTCTGTGCATGCCCAACTTTATGGCTAGACGGGTCACCCAGTTCATCATAGGCATTTCAGGTTGCATGGTAACTTGATGACCCATAGTCAAACGTTCAGTTTCTACTAAAGCCCACTTACAGGCCAAGAGCTTTCTCTCAAAATGAAAGTAATTATCTGAGGAAGATGGCAGGGTTTTGCTCCAAAATCCTAGAGGTCTCCACTGTGATTCACTTATGGGGGCCTGCCAAAGGCTCCTAACAGCATCTTATCTGCCACTGACACCTTAAGCACAATTGGATCTGCTGGGTCATATGGCCCAAGTGGCAGAGAAGCTTGCACAGCAGCCTGGACCTGTTGCAGAGCCTTCTCCTATTCTAGACCCACACTCAAAACTGGCAGCCTTTAAAGTTACCCAATAAATGGGCCAGAGTAACACACCCAAATGAGGAATGTGTTGTCTGCAAAATCCAAATAGGCCCTCTAAGCATTGTGCCTTTTTCTTGGTTATAGGAGGGGCCAAATGCAATAACTTATCTTTCACCTTAGAAGGAATATCTCCATAGGCCCCACAGCACTGGACCTCTAGGAATTTCACTGAGGTAGAAGGTCCCTGAAGTTTAATGGGGTTTATTTCCCATCCTCTTGCATGCAAATGTCTCACCAGTGAGTCCAGTGTGTTTGCTTTTTCTTACTCACTGGATCCAATCAGCATTATGTTATCAATGTAATGGGCCAATGTGATATCTTGTGAAAGGGAAAAGTGATCAATATTTCTGCAAACAAGATTAGGACACAAAGCTGGAGAGCTGATATACCCCCAGGTAGGACAGTGAAGGTATATTGCTTGCTTTGGGTCTAATCAGATTAAGCATCCAACTCCGGAAACCCCAAAACCAACTAAAGAAATCAATCCTTAAAATTCTATTCCTCTAGAACCACTCCTTATACCAAAATCTGTATTTGGCAGGGTTCCCTAAAGGGACAGAACTACTAAGATATGTGCATATATGAAACGGGTCTATTAAGGAGAATTGACTCACTCAATCACAAGGTGAAGTCCCATGATAGGCCATCTGTAAGTTGAGAAGCAAAGAAGCCAGCAGTGGCTCAGCCCAAGTCCCCAAACCTCAAAATCAGGAAGCCTACAATGAAGTCATCAGTCTGTGGTCAGAGGCCCGAGAGCCCCTGGTAAACCACTGGTGTCAATCCAAGAGTCCAAAAGTCAAAGAGCCAGGAGTCTGATGTTTGAGGGCAGGAAGCATCCAGCACAGGAGAAAGATGAAGGCTGAAAGACTCAGTAAGTCAGCTCATTCCGCCTTCTCCTGCCTGTTTTATTCTAGCCACAGTGGCAGCCACTTGGATGGTGCCTACCCACACTGAGGGTGG